GTCAGACCCGACTCATAGCGACCCCTCCTTGAGTTGCTGAGGTGGTATCACTATGGAAGTAGATTGCCCAACCTTCCTTCTGAGGGGTGCATACTATTTATGGAAGAGGTGCCTGAATCTGATGTTAGTATATTGCTACCCTGGTGGGTACCAATACTACTGTGTTGATTACCTAGTGCCGCTCTGACAGGAATATACCACAAATGGTATGGCTTGAACAAACAGGAGTTTATTCTCTTACAATTTTGAAGGCTAGAAGTCTGAGTTCAAAGTGCCAGCCTCTAGGGACTGGGTGAGAAAGCCCCTCAACCTTGGGCTTTAGCTCTGCCTCTTACTCCTGACCCACTAAAGCTGGAGGCTTTTAGTGGACTTGAATCAATGGCCTTCCTCGTGGTTTGGAAATACCAGGACTGTGCCTTTACACTTGTCGACCTTGCATTTTTCAGCCTCAGCATCCAGCAGCTGCCTGAGTGAAGAGATGCCTCCAGCTTAATAACTACATGAAAATATGAAAAGCAAATAACCAAACCCTCTGCCTTTGACTTGATTCTGACACATGTTGTTGTTATAACCCAACTCCTTGGGTTTCTGAGGCGGTATCACTGCGGAAGTAGATTGCCCAAACTTCCTTCCGAGGAGTGGCTGGTGGGTTTGAACTGCCAGCCTTCTGGTTAACAGTCAAATGCCTTAGCCACTACACTACTAGAGCTCCCTTCTGACACATAATGACCCAATAAGACAAAGTAGCACTGCCCAATAGGTTTTCGAAGGCTGTAAATTTTCATAGACCAATACTGCCATATCTTTTCCCTGCATAGTGGCTGGTAGGTTCAAACCATTGACCTTTCACTTAGCAGATGAGCACTTAACCAGGCCATATCTGTTTGTTGTGAGGTTATATTATGTTGAATGACATTTGTATAGATTCAAAGGGTAGCATATTTTGCATTGGGTAAACGAAAACACAAATGAAACCCATTGTAGTTGAGTTGATTCTGACTCATAATAACCCTATACGACACAGTAGAACTGACCCACAGGGTTTCCAAGGCTGTAATCTTTACAGGAGCAGACTGCCACATCTGTCTCCTATGAAGTGGCTGGTGGGTTTGAACCGCTGACCTTTCAGTTAGCAGCCAAGTGCTTAACTACTCTAGTACCAGGGTTTCTTCTCCTATGCATTGGATAATAAATACTTGCAAGTTTTTTTTTTTTTTTTTTTTGTCTACCTGGCATTTCCCCCTCCCCCGAATATACTCCTCCCTGACCAGGGAGTCCATCAATCAAGGGCTTTACCTCCTGTATCAGAAGATTGGTACCCTGTTTTAGTCTGGGCCAATCAGAAGCATCCTCAGGAAATTTTTCACTGGAGCCAGTGGGCAGGAGGACTCTAATTTTGTATGGAACTGTTAGTTTAGCACTAAGGATAATCTGAACCCAGAGCAAGTTAGCATGTCTTTACCACATGAGGAAGGATCATGTGTCCTTGAATGAAGTCGCGGGAGAGTTAAGATGGGCTAGAGATAGACAGATTGTTTGAGCCCTTGAACTCAGCCCAATTATGTCAAATTTAAACTCAAGAACTCATTGCCATGGAGTCGACTCCAGCTCAGAGTGACCCCTGTGGGGTTTCCAAGGGTGTAAATCTTTATGGAAGTAGACTACCTCCTTTTTCTTCCTCAGAGCGACTGGTGGGTTCAGAACATCGACCTTTTTGTTCGAAGGCAAGTGCCTTAACCACTGCATTACCAGAGCTCCTTATGTTAAATGTAGACCTCTAGGTTTTTTTAGTTAGATGAACCAATAAATTTCTACCTTCTATTTACATTAGTGTTAACTGACTTTTTATCACGTACAGACAAAAGAATACTGACCAATATGCATGTAGTTTATTTTGTTTATGCCTAACTAAAAACAAAAAAAAAATTGTATACCTTTTAAATGTATAAATATATAACTTAAAATATGTTGAAATATTTTAAAGCCAATGAGATAAGAAAACTTACTATATTAATTCATCCATAAAATTTATGACAAATATTACATTTTAGAATATTATATTAGGTAGATTTTCAATTATAACTATATCACATAATAAAGCATAGTAGTTAAGAGTTTGGGCTCTGGAATCAGATTGTCTGATTTTTAAATCTCAGCTCAGTCATTTATCAGCTCTCTGGTCTTAGGCAAGTTAGTTGACTTCCCTGTACATTAGTTCCTTACCTATGAAATTGAGGTAACAAAGGACCATCCTCATTGGGTTATGTTACTATTTAATGTAAAATGCTTCAAATAGTACCAGCACTTAGTAAGAACTCAATATATTGTAGGTATTATTATTAATACAATTATATTATTGGCTCTGAAAAAAGTTATAATGAAGGCTATTAGTGGTAGCTGTTGGATTGCCAGTGATGAAAAGAGAAGGGTAGATTCCTATTGAATTTGGAGTAGATTGGTGGACTGAAGTCTAAGAAAGCACTCTGATGAAATAATTTTCTGGATAAAAGTCAACTGACTTGCTGATTTGCAAGTTGGCAGGAAGCCTAACAGCAAGACAGTACGTTTATAGACATCTGTACCCTCCCTAGGGACTCAGATGTTTCTATATGGGCAAAAAGAGAATGAAGTGGAGGCAAAATTTCTGTATTATTTATTCTGTTTGATAATTTGTATTGTTGAGGAATTTTAAGAATATAAAGATATATAAAGCATTAAGAATATAAAGATATATAAAGCAGTGTTATTTGCATAATCTATTTAAGCCATATACTGAAATTTAGCCCATATATTTTGAGCATAATTCTATTAGGTATATGTATATGTGAGAACCATCTTTGGCCTTACTGTTAGAAAGACAAATGGTGATAAATCAACAAGCATCATAATCTATTACATGCTTCCTATGGGACTGTCATTGCTTTTTGTGTCTCTCAAGGGCAGGAAACCATAAATAGTACAAGGATTAGAAAGGAAACAGATAAGTAGATTTTCCTGAGTAATATTTATAGTCAATATCACTGCAACTTACTAGACTTCAACCTACCAATATGCTGATCCTGTGGAATTAATTTGCTTATCAACATTGACACTCTGGAGAAAGTTTATTGCTGACACCAATTCTTTGATTTCCCCAGGGACCTAGCTCTGCATATTAAGAAGTAAGATATCTTTAGTAAACTGTAATCTATGTTTACTTATCTGATTTCTTTCAGTCTGTAAAATAGTAAGAGGAAAATTATATATGCTGGCCCATAGTCTAACCAAACTCTTGTCAAAATCTAACAAACGCAAAAGTTTGATAGTTTTAAAATTGTTTGTGTCTGAACATTCAGTATTAAATATCCTAAAGAAAGGTAGTATCTAAATTAAATGTGGTTTAGAGTTGCAAACATAATGGTAAACATATAAACTATGAGTTTTAATCCAAAAGGAACTTGTGCACTAGAGACCAGTTTTAGACATGATCCAATCTCGGTAGTATGTCACTTGAGTGTAGACTCCTGGCTTGTTTGGAAGAGCACATTCATCTCCCCAGCTTACAATACCAGCAAGGAACCAGGTGCCTTTTGAATCTACACTAACCAGAGGTCCACCAGAATCACCCTAGAAAGAAAAAGGATATACACAGTTACTATAAGTTAAAGGAGAATACTTGATATATATTTTTTCTTTTGTAGTAAACTGGATTAGAAAAGGACAGAAGTGGGGGGGACCCTAGATTTCAATAGAAAAATGATTTGAGTCTAGAATAATTTTATGTTGCATAATACTTTCTTCAAATCAGATATTTCAGTATATGTCTTTGGACAAAATAATACAAAATGGAAAGCAAGTATGAAAAATTACAACTCAGTTATTACCTAAATGGATATTGAAAATAGTTTTGCTTATGCAATCATCAAAATATTGCAAAACTCTCTCTTTATTTTTCCCACTTTCTTTTATTTCTGGGCCAATACTGGGAGAAAAGGAAAATTTGTATTTACCCATCACCAGCACTGAACTATTGCTCTTCCATTCTGGCATAAACATTCCTCCAATTTTCAGAATTATGTACTCTAGCTATATACCCTCTACCCTCCTTATAGCTTTCATACTACTGATGTTAGACTGTATCCCAAGAATGAAGGAAGACATGGCATCTGGATTTTCCTTTGGTCTCTAATTCTTCCCATCATCCTAGATAATTTCAGCATCCATTGGATTATCCATCTAATACCCTAGGCTCATAATCCCTTAGCTTCCTTGGCTCTAATGATCCATACTTTCATGCAGTCTTTCCATGTTACTCCTTCTCATCACCTAGACTCTTTCAGCCCTTAAGTGCCATTATTCAGCAGTATGATTGCATTGACCTATCCCTTCAGTTTTCTTATTCCATTTTTCACTCTACATCTGCTGCTGTTGTTGTTAGGTGCCGTCGAGTCGTTTCCGACTCATAGCGACCCCATGCACAGCAGAACGAAACACTGCCCGATTCCGCACCAGCTCCACAATCCCTGCTATACTTGAGCCCATCATCACCGGCACTGTGTCAATCCATCTCGTTGAAGGCCTTCCCCTCTTTCGTCGACCCTCCACCCTACCACACATGACATCCTTCTCCAAGGAATGGTCCCTTCTTACAACATGACCAAAATAGGTGAGATGAAGTCTGGCCATTCTCACTTCCAAGGAGCATTTTGGGTGCACTTCTTCCAGGGCAGATCTGTTAGTTCTTTTAGCAGTCCATGGTACTTTCAGCATTCTTTGCCAGAACCACAACTCAAAAGCATCAACTCTTTTTTGGTCTTCCTTATTCATTGTCCAGCTCTCACATGCATGTGAGGCAATTGGATATATCATGGCTTCTGTCAGGCACACCTTAGTCCTCAAGGAGACATCCTTGCTCCTCAGCACTTGAAACAGTTCCTTCGCAGTTGACTTTCCCAGTGCTACACATCGTCTAATGTCCTGACTGCTGCTTCCGTTGGCATAGATTATAGAACCAAGCAACGTGAATTC